GTACTTTTTTAACATTTTTGTTATATGTAGTATAGTATTTTTTTTTTGTGTTTCTAATTTTTTTTTTCTATTAGCTTTTGTATTTGTTGAGAGTGTAAACAAAATAAAAAAGATATACCTATTTTATTTTGAAAGTATATATTATATATCCTAATAAGGTACTAAAGGGTCAATAGTAGGTACTTTTAGTATCTTATTAATACTTTGGCTTAACTCAAAATTACTGATAACGTGATGTTATAAGGCCTTATTTATAATAATAATAATAATCTTTATTTAACTCAGGAGGATCGTTACAATATTATTTATACAACAGGTACACTTTCAAGACATTATCAATCCTTTTAGTATGTATGTGTAGTCCTGGCTTCTTTACTAGCATTAGTCGTATGACAGAAGCCAATTCCTTCTCAATCAACCTACATGAACTTTTATTATAGATCATGATATAATTAGTTTTCATCAACTAATATCATGATACAAGTACATATAATATTTGGCAAGAATAATTAAAATTGGCGTTTTATAGTCAAGTAGGCTGATGGATTTTGTATAAACTTGTCTTGTTGAGTGCCACTGTTTTCTCTGTTTCAACTGCCAAGCAGCTTGCTCTGTACCTATCTAAACTGTGTTTATAATGTAATACTTAAAAAAAAAAGAGATAAAAGAACTACTTAGAAAAGAAAATGGAAACGAATGAATTTTGATATAATATTAAAGTTTGTTCTGGGAACGCTGTACTTTTACTTATGGCTGGAAGAGTTTTCTGTTCTTTATTTCTTGAATAACTCCTTGCGAAGTTGTGATGGTAGGTAGGGAGGTATAAGTTTATTCTTTTTAATAATATATTTTCGTTGCATTATAAGGTCGTTTAGTGTCGACGAATAGTATAGTGGTAAAATTTAAGAACTTATTCAATTTTGGAGGAGGAAATTTGTGAGGAGGGAATGGGGTTGAACTGTTACCCCAATCTTTCTTGCGTCATCTATTTCCCCTAGCTCCTCCTTAAAGCGAATTTCTTTCGTTTTATGTTATTACAAGGGACATTATATTAACATATCTGTCCATTTGAAGATAGTTCTTCCTTTTACAATAGTTGATTTGAATTTATACTTTTTTCTTTTTGTTTTTAACCTCTAACTAAAAGTTACCTATATATTGTTTCCCTGACATGCAATTAATGATGATACAACTAAATCGAATTAAATAATATTTGGCTGAGTAGTCAATGAATGGACAGTACATTCTAACCTTAACTTAGGTAGGAGATGTATGAAACATTCTATAATACGTAATTTTGTACCTTCATCTTCCGTTACTGAAATTGTTAACTTTTAATCATTAGGTATAGGTACCACTCGTTATCTGGAGGATATAAACGTTTGTAAAACAGCCTGTATTTAATATTAAAAACGTGATTGATTGAATTTTGTTGTGTAATATACCCCTGTACTAAATATGTAGGTACTCGTATACTTATATGTACTGCATATTACGTTATTAGCAGGCGCCCCTCCAATCAATCCCCCGTCCAATTCAAACGGTCGAAATTACGACGGCCTGAGCCGAGGTTCGAACCCCTAGTGGTGCCCTCAGACTAAAGTCGTATCCGTTAGGCAGGAGTTGGCCTTCAGCCGCTCCATAAGTCCTTCCGCAGGTTTGGAGTGCCATCTGCACTCGCCCCCTAACGTCCGGTGAAGCTGTAAAGGCCAGCTGCGGCCAACAGCATTAGAGTAGTCCGAAAAAAGAAAGCAGGCCGATCCCAACAACAAAGTACACATCTTTACTTCAGATATTCATGAATATGATTGTTTTGTATTCTACGTATATTCAGTATGTAGGTATTTACAAAAAAAATCTAGGTAAGTATTAACACCAGTTGTCTAGCAGGTACCCATAACACAAGCTTTACTTACCGTGGGACTAGATGGGGCTGTGTTAATTGTCCAGGGTTATTTATTATTATTGTAATTAGTAGAAATATCTATTAGTCTACTAATACTAACAATAAATAGGTTTTTTATAGTAGATATAACATACATATTGTTTCTTCCTGTATTGTAGCTTCTGAACTAATAGACATATAGTGATGCATTTTTTCTAAATTGACTTGATCTAGATAACCCTTAGCTATGTTATTAAAATTTATTCAAGTATTTAAAGATCAACAAATCATTTAGTTCTTAGGCAACAAAGAGATTTTACCAATATAGTTGATATCTATGTTGAAATATCTTAATTTTTTTATTTAATTCCAATGGTTGAACCTCAGGCCTTCGTCCGTAGGAGACCGTCTTATATCTACAACTCTACAAATTGTAGAGAATGTGTGAATTGTGAATTATGTCTTATTCGAAGGAAGTAAAACGGGATTATGTTAACGGGACTATATTGGTACCGACAAGTAAAAAATCAATGAATAGAACAGAATAATCGAGGGCGACTACTTACTTAGATGATAGAATAAATTATTTTTAAGTCCCATGAAATAAAGAAAAATAATTTTATCAAAACTTACAATTATTTTATCAAATCGTCTTTAAGATAACGTCATTTTAGACGTAGGTACTTAGTTAAAGCTATTGTTTATTCATAATTTAATATAATTCAGAGCTGAACTCTTGTCGGTGGAGCTCCGCCACCTTCCACGATCTTCTATCAATTGTTTTAGTTGTCGATACGAGACGACTCCAACTTTTTCCTTAACCTGCTTATATAGCTGTGTCTTGGTCTTCTCCTTCCTCCATTTCCATCTATTTTTCCTTCGATAATATTATTAATATGTTCGTCACTTCGTATCAAGTGCCCCACAATATTTTAATCTTAATATAATACTATAAACTCGAAAGTTTGTAAGTATGGATATCTGTTACTCTTTCACGCAAAAACTACTGAACGGATTTTCATGAACATTACAGTAAATAATATAGCTTATGCATCAGAGTAGCACATTAGCTAATTTATATTAAAATTTACCGCGTGTTAAACCGCGGGCACAGCTAGTAGTATTATAAACGCGAAAGTTTGTGAGTATGGATGGATGTTTATTACTCTTTCACGCAATAACTACTGAACAGATTTTCATGAAACTTTACAATATAGCTTATACATAGAATAACACAAATATGTAGGCTATAATTTAAAATATTATAAAACAAATTGAGTAAGTGTGATGGAGACGAAGTCACGCGAATACTAGTTGAGTATTTTATAAATATTTAAATTTATAAAAGGTACCTAAGTAGATTAAGCCGTTTATTAATTTAGCGCTATTAAAATACGGGTCAAATTACGGATGTTGCTAATCTGTAACAGTTAACTTAAGTTTGTAATCCGAGTTATGTATTTCCTTTTTTTTTGTTTAGGTAAAAAGCTTAGTTCACACATGCATTGAGTCAACACTTCGAGGCTCAACATTACGACTTCCGGTGATTAATTAATTAGTATAGGCATAACTATGTAAACAGGCAGATGACATATCAAAACAATCTTGTTTTGGAGTATCTAAATACTGAAATGTAGTACTGTGGCAAGGTAAAACCTAAACCTAGTTACCTAGGTATAAATTTGGGGAATTTCTTTTAAGTAACTTTTTATGCATACAGGTTTGCTGTAATTAAAAAGTCAATATGTAAATTCAGAATTATACTAGAGATATATATATAGTTATACCACATATAAGATATAAATATATATATAGATATATACATAATAGATATGAACAAAGTTAGGTATACATACAAAAAATGAAACAAATAGGTACATTTATTAAAATTTTGCTCTGTTCAATAGTTTAAAGTAATTGTAATAATACAATTATTATTACAATTATTTTAAACTATTCAACAGAGCAAAATTTTTAACCGGTAATAAAAACCGATCTTTTTATATAGGTAGAGTATTGACTCTACCTATATAAAAAGATCGGTTTTTGTCATAACTATTATTCCGGTTACAAAGTTTTTCATGTAGGTACTTAGGTAGGTGGTACTCGTAACTGGTACCTAATACCTATTATTAATACAATACCTCCGATATATAGAGATGGTTGGTATTTTTTGTGATATACCTAGTACCTACCTACCTGTTACTTATTATTATGTTTTTTGTAGTCATTTTTATAAGTCCAGTGCATTAAAAAGGAAACAGGTAAGTTTTCTGTTCTTTTAGATGAATTGGATAGTGGGATCAAAGATAACATGTGGGATTCAAAATAATAGGTACAAGAATAAATTTATATGAATAAGCTACTAAAATATTCTACCTATATGAGTACCTACTTTCTTTTAAGTCAAATAATTTATTTACATATACTCTACGTAGGCACATGTTTGTTTTATGTGAGATTAATAGCACATAGATATCTCTACATATATTATAGTAGGAACTACATGTGCCTATCAAACTATTGGCATCTAACAATAAGGCTTTAAATATCTGTTTAAATAAGTAGAATAACTCATACGATTTAAATGAAGTTAAAGTCGTTAGAGCAGGGTCCTATAAAATACCTAGTTCTGATTCTGGGACATACGATTAAAGACTCATATGGACAGTGTCGCGTACCTTGTTATTAACAATTTATGTCTATATGAATAAATAATGAAAATTATGAATCTTAAATAAATTGAGTGCAATGGATTTACAGTTCTATAGTGTAGTTGCCAAACAATGGCTATAGAGCATAAAGTCTATAAGGGTGTAAATGTCACGGAGCGGAGGGGAAGTACTGCGAGTAGAGTGGGCGCCGCCCTCGGCGTTATGCCTGGGCGTGCGCCGCTCCACCTGGCACTCTCCGGGGTTGCGTGACAGAGACAGATGCCAGCCTGATACCGTTGTTAGAGCGAGAGTCGTATTTAGAGGGCGGGGCGAAGCCGCGTCATAGCGCAACAAGCGGTGGCGCCCACGATCCCGCTCATTCGTCTTTCGTTTAGCGTCCGCTATGTAAACGGGTCTTGTTGTGAATCTAAACAAAATCAGTCAGTCGTCATTTTGTTGCCGAAAGAGCAACGCGTCGAGGGTTCCGCGCTCGCGGTCTGAGTATGTTGTGGTAGTGAACGTGGCTCGTAACGATGCACGCGTTGTTCGGCGAACAGAGCCCCTATGCGTACCGTGGTGGAGCCGCCGGCGGCTACTCAGCCGGAGTGACACCCTATGCCTACGAACAATACCGATACGGATATGGAGCTCCTTACCTCCATCCGCACCAACAGCACGTTGGGGCGCCTAAGGATATGGTCAAGCCGCCCTATTCGTATATTGCCCTCATCGCAATGGCGATACAAAATGCACCAGATCGACGCATCACACTCAACGGCATCTACCAGTTTATTATGGAGCGATTTCCATACTACCGAGAAAATAAACAAGGTTGGCAAAATTCTATTAGACATAATTTAAGTCTCAATGAGTGTTTTGTAAAAGTGGCGAGGGATGACAAGAAACCTGGCAAGGGAAGCTACTGGACTTTAGATCCTGATTCATACAATATGTTTGATAATGGTTCATATTTACGACGGAGGCGTCGATTCAAAAAGAAAGACGCCCTCAAAGAAAAGGAAGAAGCTTTAAAAAGGCAGCAACAACTTCAGCAAGCGCAAGAAGCACTCGCAGCCCAAGAAGCGCTCAGTGCGGCGGATGCACTAGGACAAACACGAGATGTTAAACCGGACGTTAAACCTCGTATTTTCGAGTGTAGACCAAAACGAGAGCCAGGTGCAGAATGCGCACGTTACGATAAACCTGCCGACGCGCTCGACGAATTTAGTGAACCTCGGTTGCCACCCTCTGCCGTATATTGTTCACCGCAGCCCTATTCCTTAGCGGCAGAAGAGTTTCGAGCTGCTACGTCTGGCTGGTATGCAGCGCCTGAACCACCTACGGAGCAATTACCACCGGCCTTCCGAGACCTTTTCGAACCACCGAGTTGCCAGTTAGCTGGTTTCCGTGGTAGTTCTCCAGGACCTGAAGCGTATCGAGCCTCTCCACCGCCGCACCACCATTACCGTACGCCAGCCCCTTCATACTACCACCACCAAGCGTGCGTAGCAGCTGCACCTGCGCCTGCTCATAAGTCCTACTGAGACACTGCCCTCAGGTGAGACACCAATTTATTGTTCGATAGTGCTATGCGATGTCGTTCCATATTTGTAGATTGTGTGGCGTCCGCGAATTCCGCAGTGCGAATTGCTCGCATATTTCACCCCTGCGGCCACGGGGTGAGCGTCCATGTGCATCGGAGCACCTCGTGACGTGGTTGTGGTTGCAGGAGGCCGGCATCATACGGCGCCGAACGGATTTAGCCGCCCGCGTCAGTTCCAGAGCGGATAAATATAGCGCAGTAGCCGGAGATGCCGTGAAGGCAAGTGGCGGCGCGTCGATAACCACTGTTTACAGATCGGCGGCCGACCCTGCCGCCTCCCGCTCCGTTCACACCTATAGGTATGTCGAAACTCAACATGTGTTAGAAGTTGTCTGTAACAATGAGTGGCTGATGATGTTAGGGTGTGCGTAATTCGGATAGTGTGCGTGAGACTGCCAGCGGTGCTCCTTGCCTACTTCACTGAATATTCCGATGTTTCACGGAAGCCACGAACAAGATTGTTTTGATTAGCTCTGGACATACATTATCCAAAGATTGCGCGGGTACTGCTACACTCGGATGTGAATGTCTAAAGTAATTCCAGTAGGTCTGTTATAAGATATTAACATTTTTTAAATAATATCGTACAAACCTTCGTTTCTTCCTACTAAGACGTATCGTTCATAGAAATTAACACGAACAAAGGTTATTGTAAATCAAGTAAGTCAAAGTAAAAAATAATTTGCAATTTTTTTCCACTAGGTTAATTTTAAGTGACCATGTGGTAACCAACTGGGGTATAAGCGAACAAACATTAAATGTAAATATTTAACAATAGGCACAGATTGAAGCTCATAGCACATCCTTTTGTGGTGTTGTTAAGCTTATTGCTGAGATAATGATTACACTTAAATAGAATTTTAGTGAGTAATATCAATTATTCGCTAAAGTAAACTATATGCCATGGTGTATCAAACGCAATCGTTTTACGAGTAATAATAGACTTGAGATAGTTATAAAAATAGTCAAAAATAAAGAAAGAGAAAGAAAAAATTAGGTAATAGGATTACAAAAACTAGTTCTTAAAAATCATAGATATATAGTTTATTTTTACAGGAATCTTATGGGAATAATTACGTTTTATTATCAGATTCACTTAACCCTATTATGTTTATAAGAAAGTACATATGGTTTAATAAATAGGATTCAATTTTCGATATAGTATTAAAAATATAAAGCAAATGAATAGAAGGAGAGCATGGAGATCTACAGTGAATGTAGCTTCATTGATCTATGCAAAATTACGTTTGGAGTTTTATAATTTACGGTATAGGTATAATAACCTAAATTCCAAACAACCTCTGTACTGTGGATATTAGACAACTATTAACTAACTTATATACGAATAATAATGATTGTAAATATAAATACATTATAAGCACTATTTACTTAAAAATAGAGTTGTATTATGTGGGTTGTTAACTCGGAAGCATCGACAGCCAAATAGTGCGCGAAACTGCAATATAACAGATACTACTAAATTATTTGATTTCTAAGAAAGGCAACATAGTTCATATAATAATATACGTTAGCCGAGAATTAAAAAATAATGGTGTTTTAAAATGAAAGTATTTTCTTCGTGAATGGAAACCAAGCAGTTAAGAAAACTAATATCTTAATATCATCGCACATTATAAAATTAAACATAAATCTATCTACCCCTTCTGGTTTTCCATTACTAAGGAGTAAGGTGACATGCCATCCTATGATCCCTATGATCAAAGTCATTATTATCATACAATACAAAATTAAAATAAGTGACATTTAAACATAATCGTAGACGGTTTCGTAAAAAATCTTACTCGTAAAAAGTTTCGCATATTACAATCCAGACAGGATAAAAACTGTTTTTCTTTAATATACAGGTATTTTGTGTTCTACAGTGCATACGCACTGTGGTCTGCTTCTAAAATTAGTAGCAACTGTTAACTGACCTTACCGTCCAGTTAATTAACTTCACTTTAATCTCCTGCAACACCTATCAAACGGCATTTGCGCTCATAGAACAGAAACAATGGATTCTGTGTTTGCTCCGACTAATGCAGGCCACACACGATACTCGTAATTGCACTATACGGTTTGAACTGGAACGATAAACATTACTAAACTACGCGCCCTGTCGTACGACGCGAGTGACGACTGTCATTTTCGCATTTTTTGCTAGGTATATATTATCGATCAAATTGTATATTACTATAGAATATACCATATATTAGGCAGTATAAATAAGCTCTCAAATAAAATAAAATAGAGTGAGCGTTGGTGATGTAATCCACAATGTAAAGTTACCAACCGCAGTATAATTTTGAGTGTCAGAAATGCAATAGATCTACTATAGTAGCATTCATATTAATATTCATAAATATTAATCTGAAGAAGCCTTACCTACACCTAAGTTATTAAACTAAACTTGAGTAGGTTTCTCTGCTCTTTAAAAATCGTGATGAAAGAAATTATAATTTATAAGAAAAAAGAAAGAAAGCATTTTAGTTACAAGTCGGTCGATCCCTTCTCTCTCAATTCTTTGTTTTTATTTTGTTTATGTTAGCCGATATTTCTGCAAACGATGTAAATTACATCGATGAAAAGCGCTTAATATCTATAAATAAAAAAGAATATGCTAAGTACCTGTCTACATACTGTTGGCTTAATATTTGAAATATTGCCAGTTTCGATCATATTTCTTCCTAGCATACGGAGACTAGATTTTTAGATATAATTTTTACTATCTGACTAATTGAATTCTTGGTCTACCTACGCGTATACTAATTCCCATGTACTAAAGTAAATTTGGAACTAGACAAACAACATTTATCAATGATATTATTAGTTGATTGTAATAATTATTTCACATTTTACAAAAGAGCAGACGTAAGCATGCAGACAATCACTCTGCAATTATTGTAATGCAGTCGTACTATACACATACGAATATATTGTTTGAGTTTTTACGTTGAGTATAGGTAAAAGTATGTTTGAGAGAGCCATTAAACAACTCGTAAAACATTACGATTTAGTAAACCTATAAATATTTTAGCAAACTACTGAATTGCATAAAACAAACTCTACTTTGGATTTCGCATTATTTATTACCTAAGTATTCTTGGCCCACCTATTTTATTCGTCGTTAACACATTTTTTTATCAGCCAATATTTGATGTTTCTCTGTAACAGCACCATTGTTCTATATAGAATACACATAAGTTATATGTGTATAATACACAAAGTAAATAGGTTTCAATTTTATATACCTCACAGTAAAAATTCGGTTCAGTTTCTTACCAGTTCTTCTCAATTGAATTTGTATACTGTTTAGTTCACTAAACGGCAAGGAAAAAATATTCATACAAAAATTCGACGTTCATAAGCGGCTAAAATATCCTACATCAATAAATTATTTTTAATTTAATTTGATTTGTTTATAATAGAAGTTGTTAGAAATATCATAACTAATACAGGTAGTACTAATACCTGAAATATATATCTGAGATTAATAATTTAATATTTAAATAAGCAATAACTGCTACGTATGTGGTATACATACATAGCAGTTATTGTATATTGTTTCATTTAAAATAAATCGTATTGAGATAACTATCTATATATAATCGGCCTTGCTTAATTTTCATAGCATAGCTTAGTTTCCAATTACTATAAAAAAAGATTGCATAGAATAGTCGGAGCCTCGTAGTAAATAAATCTTTCTTAAGGTTTAGGCTCTACCTATTGAATGAATTATATGTTACTAAACCTATTAAAATATCTTATAATTTGTTTTAAATTAGAACCAATGTAAATGAGTATTTATTTTTTAAAATTGGTTGAAAGAAATAGAATTATAAATAATCTTTATTCAAATAAACTCATTACAAGCACTTTTGAATAGTCATATTTTGATTCTACCACTCATTCCGAATGCAGATTCATCACAAGAAGATCGTGCAAAAAACTTGTTTTTTGAATAAATAATGTTTTTTTTTATATTATTTGATTTATTAATTGATATATTGAAAAATTGGTCAATTCAATCTAGTTCCACGTCATCCACAGATGGTATATATGTATAATATAACATTAATAAATATAACAATATTAAATTGACACTATATGACAGATTTGTGTCACGGGATCTTAATGAGCTAACAATAATGTAGAGTCTAGTTATCAATTTCACGTAATTCTTACAGTTTTATTTAATTACATTATTTATTAAATACACGACGATCAGTGTCAACTTTCTTAATTGTAAATAGTTATTATTAATAATTATCAAATAGTAATAAATTGTAAAATGTTAGAGGAATTGTTTTTATTTTATGTATTTCAATGTTATCAAATACATACGAAAGTACAGTAGATACAGTACATACGAAAAGAAACAAAATAACAATGTTGAAATAATATAATTTTATCACCTCCATCAAGGTAATATATAAAACTAAAAAAATCATAATTATACCCATTTTTTGTTTTCAAAAATATTTTTTTTTGCTCTAGGTATATCGGTCTATGAAGAAAGCGGGAGCCGGAGTGCAGGGGACAGCCAGAGTACCTAATGTTATATGAGGACGCGGGTATTCCGGGATTATTGTGAACGTTGGTTTAAAACCCAGTGAAATAGTTTACAACGTGAACAAGTTTTATTTATTTTTCACATTGTAGAAGTCTTGAGAATTTTTAGGTGTATATTACTAAGACAGAAGACTTATTTTAGTAAGTATTGAGTGCATAGGTAGTTTTGCATTCAATGGTGGATTTGTAGATAAGACGTTTCGATGTTGTTAGACTATAATATGAATACGTGCTTAGAGAGAGAAAAAAAAATAAATTCAATCGCATTTCTATGTAAGTAATAATTAATATCAATAATGTAAATATACATATTTACTTGTCGTAAGTAATGAAAAATTTAGATTTAAGTAAAATGGTTCATTTTACTCAAATCAACATGATTGAATTCTAGTCTGATGTTGTAGATATATTAAATAGAATTTGAATTTATTTGGTATTATTTATGTGGAGAATATAAATACTATAATACCAAAAAATTCAACGATGTAGTCATTTAGGCATATACTTACTTGGAATAAAAACAATTCAATAACGCCCTACTGAAGAACACAGTACTGCATAGGTGTCTCTTCATAAAAGTACCTAATCAGCCTACTAATACAACACGAGTTAAGTGATCTACTAAAGGTTGTTTTAGTTTTCCTTCTATTGCTCTGATCTGATATGCTACAGCGGCCCTATTTATCGGTACTATAGGATCGTGGATATTAAAAGGAGCAGTAACATATATTATCGTCTCCTCTGATCGATCCGATTGTCCAATTCAAATGGGGATCGAAATTACGACGACCTGAGCCGAGGTTTTCACCTCTAGCGATGCCCTCAGACTAAAGTCGTATCCGTTACGCAGGAGTTGGCCTTCAGCCGCTCCATAAGTTCTGTGGGTTTTGCGTGCCATCTGGGCTCGCCCCCTATCGTCTGGTAAAGCTGTAAAGACCAGCTGCGGCCAACAGCATTAGAGAAAATAAATAATCGTATTGCGTAGGGATGAATTACACTGAATCTTGAATAAACACCCCGAAACATACACTTGTTACGAATTAAGAAAATTATATTTAAATTTGTGAAGGGATAATGAGCACCACTGGCATTATTATGTTGATAATAACTAATTTATTAATCATCTAAGTAGACGTTGCGATTATTATTATACAATAATAGCTGTACCTGCTTTACATGACTTACATAAATTTATACACATATGTATGTACACTTTTTATCTTAAAATACAATAATAGAATATTTAGTGATCTCTATCTACCTATTTATTATATTTAAATTTGTATAAATCACATACAAATAATTATTGCATGCCATTCCAAATGAAAACTGGAAATATGTAATTGTTCTTATATTATGTGTATAACAAATTATTATACAGGGTTGTTTAAAGGATATCTGCGCTGTAAAATGTTTATATTTGTTTAAAAATGTGTTTAAATAAGACAATATTAAATATCTCTTAGGGTGTGTGCACTGTCATGAATATTTACCTAAGTGCCTTTATTACGTAATCTGGTTTAAAATTTTTATATACCCCTTTAATTTTATAAATATATAATGATTGCAGTTTCAATAAACTATCTAATATACATACAACTACGATTAGTAATTGTATAAAATATTAAAAACCTGCTGAACATTACTGAAAAATAACTACTTTAGTAAATTTTTACGCAACCCTGTATAATAATTAAATTTATTATAAGATGACGAAATTATTAATCACAAGACAAGAAATTATTTGCCTACGTAAAAGTGGGCACATTTGTATTGTAAATAACTTAATCTCATATACCTAGACACATACCTCTAGATTAATATAATAGCTGTAATTATTAATTATAAGATTAGGTAATATTAATATAATTAAATCTGAATGGAGTTACGACATTATGTAATTAGACACATTTCCAAAAAAGCATGCTATTTTCAAGGTACGGTTGCGGATATTTAATCGCTGAAGAATAAAAGATACTAAATTTATAACGAAAATCGGTGCTTATTGGTAATAAATTAAAGAATGTTTGATCAAATGATAGAAACAATTGATGTATGGAAGTAGATACCTAATCGTTGAAATAATAATAAATGCAAAATCATGTAGCAGCATAGTGTAAACTTACGTGGAAAATAATTGTAAATATAGATATTAAACTCTTGCACAATGTTTATTAGACAAATGTATAAGATATGTGTAACTTTGAGTGTGCTTGCGACCGTTGCGTTGTACAGTGTAGACCCGATAGCAACAACTTTTAAAAATAATTATTAAAATTGTGCAGACGAGTTGTAATTGAATTTTAGATGACTTAATAGTTAATAACTTTGTGATAATTATCGTAAATGTGTGTACATACATGTATTTAAATAATAAATGTTTATTTGTATTTAGAATATTGTCCTCATTTGTTTTAATTCTACCATCCCCGTGTTACTTACTCGTTAGAACGTAATAACCAGCCAGTCATCAACGACTATATAGACGTAGATGACGCTGTAGCCATAGCTGATATCCCAAATAAACCAAAGTGCCAGAACGAATACATCTACAGTTTAGTGTAGAAGAGTATGTGCACCCTAAGTAGAAACACACCTGCTTGGAATATGCCATACAGGTCGTAGTAACGTTTATCAGTTGATATGAAAAAAGTTTATATAAATTATAGAAAGTTATGAGAACATATTTTACATATATTATACATATGTATATGTAAAATATATTCTCTTAATCCTAAAATGAATAAAATAAATTATACTGTGCCATTCACAGCATATAGCTCTTTAATATATATAAATATATACGCATATTTGTTAATTCGTATTCAGGAGAACTGAAGACCAATAAATAAATATGTGTGATAAATCATACCTACCTATGTCCCAACAAAATTTTTTTTAATAGTGTTATATAAGTAAGTACGAGTATAATACAGCAAAAGGAAGGTCTATTTAATATATAGTAGTTTGAGTACTGACGCCACAAAAATCACATATAGAACAATTATTTCACTACATTTGTTTTTTAATTTCTTGCATCTCACAGTATTCTTATTACTTAGGTACTTAAATTTATTAGACGACCCGTATGTCGTGTATCCAGTTGCTTGTCGTATGCCTCTATATTATATTTAATTAACTAGATTTTATCGGTACTAGTCCTCTTTAGTTCATAATGAGAAAATTCACCAGTTCTAGTAAAAATTTTAGTATTTACTAATTATTTCGTAATCTTTTTATAAATTACCTTTTATTTTTTTTATTAGATTGTGCATTTTAGTCCATAGTTCGTTTCTAGTCCTTTTGCTTGTGTCATATTCCATCGGAGATCGTCGTTGATAAGAGCAATTCTACTTTCCAAAGTATATTGACCTCATCATTGCCGATTTACGATCAAATATGACACTAGCCTCTAAGATATTTCAACCAGGATATGCAACGGCAATCAGGTATGCTAATAAAAAAAATTGCTAAGACTTTTGATTGAAAACAGCAGACAGGTTTCTTATCCAATATTCTCAGCTGAAACTCATCAAAAGTGACAATAGAACTGTTAAACAATCCATTGTAAAAGTGTTTGAAGTGAAGTTTATTTAAATAGTAATTATTTCTGTTTCTATAAAAGCTGGATTATATTCGTCTGTATGATCGTTTAGGCACTAGAGAGTATGTTTACATTGATTTGAGACAAGGAAAAATCGAATTAGTTTAGAAAAACACAATTCATTATTTGCCATTGCACGATCCCGATCTTAAATGTTCGCTTTGACATAATAAAATATAATAATAATCTCTGAACAATTCACACAGCGTCTAGACCAAGTTAAGCTAGTTAAAGCTTGTGTTATGAGTACTAGATAACTGATACATATACATAGATATTTTTTTTTGTAAATACATACATATTATACATAGAAAACACCCAGACCGATACAAACTATCATACTCATGAATACAAATGTTTGTGCGAGGAATCGAACCCGTGACCATCGGAAGTAAGGCTGTGTGTTCAACCGCTAGACCACCGAGGCCGTAAATAATATAAAAGTTAATCACGTATAAAATAAAAAAGGTTGACGTGTAACTGCAATATTTGGTGTTTTTCAATATCAATTATTGTTGAATCTTAGTCAAAACAAATAAAGGATGATAATCTTATTATTATTAATATTACAAAGTTTATGAGTATGGATGGACGACATTTTAATGAAACTTTACAGTAATATAGCTTATACATCAGAGTAACATATAGGCTATAAATTTTTCACGCGATTGAAACCGCGGTCACAGCTAGTATTTAATAATTCACACAGGAACTATAAATATTAAAGAATAGAACGTTTGCAGGTGTACATGTAACTTACGTCTTGTCACGTCTGAATTAAACTAAACTCGAGAGTAGCCACTTTGTCAGCTCAACATGGGACGAATTTTGAAGAATCACCTCTCAATCACAAAGTAAGTACTTAAATACATTCCCAACAAGCACACTGCATCACGCATCGCGTTTATTGAAAATAGTTAGATACCTACCTACCTAGTTATGCTTTGTTATTTTTATATAATAACAAAATAAAATTAGGTAGGTGTAACCATTTGACTCAAAAAAAGTAATATTTAAAAAAAGATACAGAAAAAGAATAATATTCAACGTTTCTTTTCTGAATCTTTCATGTCAAACTAATTAGGATAAATATGTAGTTATTTTGCCCTGTGGAATCACATTCCATGGTATTTGAAACCTTCAAAAAAAAGAGCTCATTTCTTCCTATCATATGCAATCCACATACATTACATTACTCACTCCTGCGGGTGTACATGGGCGTCAGTACTCGGTAATCACTAACCATCAGGTGAGCCGCAAGCTCGTTTGTTCTCTATGCTATATAAAAAAGTTATCAGTCATGTACAAATTTATACATATATAGAGCCACTTTTATATATATTACATATATTTAAGTCTTAAAATAACTTCTTAATTATATTATAGGAACATACCAGAAACTATTTCGCAAGTATGGTGTAGGTATTTATTAGGAAGGAATGTAGAAGAAAGTATAATAATATTGATATTAAAGACAGGTAACCAAGATTTATACAAAAACAATAATATTGTTCAAAATTAGTAAATTCAGGTGTTATAACCTAATTGAGCTACGGAAATAGAATTTAGCCTACATGTCGACAACACAAAGTTTCGTATTGGTTTGCATTGACAGTATGTAGCAATATTAAATTGCCGGGTTTTGTTACGTTGCGTCCTTTTTACCAAGAAACGTCACTATACTGTTCTGACGCATTGTGTTTCAAAATAACATGTATACCTATTTGAAGTAACGATGTGTGTGAGAGACGTTTATAGCTACTGCAGCAGGTAGAATACTTTTTCTTTTTCTGTTAGCCGCAACTGGACTTTACAGCTTCACCGGACGATGAAGATGACACTCCAAACCCGCGGAAGGAATTATAGAGCGGCTAAAACCAACTCCCGCCTGACCGATACGATTTCGGATAGTCTCAGGGTCTATAGATTCGAACGTCGGCTCAGGCCGTCGTAATTTCGATCCCCGTTTGAATTGGAATGGAGATCGATGACAGGGAATATTCCAGAAAGTAATTTGCAAGTAAACCTAGCTGGAAATTACCTAAATAATGTCCTTAATCAGAATATCATTTCTTTCATTCATTTCTTTATAATTTTAATCAAAATAATAATGAATACGGTTATGCCTGATTACAAATGAGTTACGATGATTCTACCTAAATAAAAAATCCACCATTTTTTATACCTTGTGTGAGGAATTATGAATAACACAAATGAAATCATATATCGTCTA